GGGCCAGCCAACGGACGGGTGGAGGCAGAGGTTGGACAGATCAAGAGGAGACTGAGGGTGCTGCTGGCTACCTCAGGTTTGGCACTTCAGGATTGGCCAGGAGTGGCACGATGGGCTGGGGAGGAAAGACTCAGGAACCAGCTGCAGAAAATGGGTGTGCCCTCCAAGCCAATGGTCCCATTGGGTGGTCGAGTGGTGGTGAAGACCAAGCGCTGGCACAAGCAGGGCCCCTTGGCGCCTCCATTCAAATCCATGGTCCTCATGGGTCCAAGCCCCAACATGACCAACGGCTGGGTGCTGCGAGATGGGAAGAATGTCCAACATGCCAGAGCAGTGGTATGTCCAGCTGAATCAGGAGAGACGGCTGTGATGGAGCTCTACGACGCATCAACGAGGAGGGTGACTGGAAAGCAGCCGCCTTATGTGGAGGATCGGAAGGTCCCTCAACCTCTTCAACATGATGAGCTACCTCTACTCCTACAAGGGGACCTGGGTGCTGAGGGCGACTCCAATGATGTTTGGGGGGAGGCCAGAAATGCAGATCAGGGGGAGGATGTCATGAGCTTGGCCTATTCGCCGGATGAAATGCCTCAAGATCAACTTCATGAAGGTGATGAACATGGAAGTGAGAAGGAAATGCCTGCCCTACTTCGAGCAGTGTGGGCAGGGGGGGAGTGCAATCCCACTTCAATGGAAACTCCAAGAACTTCAATCGAATCTTTGCCTTCCACTACGACCTCTGCCGCATCGTCGAAGACCCTTTGGGAGTGTGGGAGTTGCGGCCTATTGCAACCTGGTGAGGGAGCATGCCAATTCTGTGACGCAACTACAACCTTGTGCTCCTCTTCACGATCGGGCTTGCAAGGGGAAGCATCTACAGCTCGGTGGTCTTCTTCACAATCGGGCTCGCAAGGGGAAGCAGCTACAGCTTTGGGTTCCTCTTCACGATCAGGCTTGCAAGGGGAAGCATCTACAGCTTTGTGGTCTTCTTCACAGTCGGGCTTGCAAGAGCTAGCCTCTATGAGGGCGAAGGCATCTCTGGAGCTGGAACCATGTGGAGAAGAAGGAGTTCGAGCCTGGGAATCAGTGGAGATCAACAACCCCAAGGAGCTTCTTGATGGAGTGTACCGAGAGCATTGGGGGTGGAAGACGCTGTGGGAGCAGGAGCTTGCCAGGGAAGCGGTTGGCGCTGAGATGGGGCTACTACATGGACAATGGCTGCAGTATCTGGAAGATCAGGTGCAGAGCTTGGAGGAGGAGCTGGCTATGGTGGATGACGTGGCCCTGAGACGACAGGCAAAGGACTGTCGACTTGCAGCTCTCTCCAAGGAGGTCAACGACCCCGTGAGCAGCCAGGTGCCCTTGGATGTCAGTGACCCACCAGGCCATGCGCGGGCGGTGCTTCAAACCTACACGGTCTCTCTAGCGGAGGTCAAGAAGGACATTGCTTTGTGGAAGGAGCCTTTGCAGGCGGAATTGGAAGCCTTGGTGAGCTCGGGAACTATCAGAAGGGTGAAACTGGAGCAGCTGGCATGTGAGCCGGGCTACGACAGGATGGAGGTGGCCCCTGCGAAGGTTGTCCCGACCATCAAATCCCCGTCTGGGAAGAGAAAGGCCAGAATTGTCATATGCGGCAACATGGTGCATCCTGCTGGACATGTGAAGGCGCCTCAGCTTCCGGAGGATGGAGATCAAGGCCGTGAAGATCCTCATGGAGACCCTCCTCTACCTTCTCAAGTGCCTGGAGGTCGAGGGCATGGATCTGGTGGTGATCGAGGTGGAGGCAGCAGTCAAACCACCACTGCCGATCTATATGCAGGTGGGGTGGACGCAACGGCTTTGAGGTGCGTCCTACGCAAATCGGCTGGAGAAGGATGGTCCTTAGCATCCACAGATGTGCGTGGGGCTTTTCTATCGGCTCCGAGGTCCCAATCGAGGAGACAGTTATTGGTTGTGGAGCCCCCGAGATTGTTGACTTCGACAGGATTGGTGGGTTTGGACGAAAGATGGATCTGTGATGGAGCCATGTATGGCTTAGACACATCGCCAGCTGATTGGGCCACTTTCAGGGATCGGCATCTGGGAACCTTCAGGTGGGAAACACAGACCCACAGATGTCACTTGGCCAGATCGCCGGAGCCCAACATTTGGTCGATCATGGGAGTGCCCAAGGAGCAGTATCCCACTCCAAACCTCAATGACGATGCCTATGCCAACCCACTGGGCTTCCTCATTGTCTATGTGGACGATGTCTTGTGCGCTGGGCCCAGGGAAGTTGTTGAATCCACGTTGGCCAGGGTTCGCAAGGAGTGGACCTGCTCTGAAGTGGAATGGGTTGGTGATACCCAGTGGTTGAAGTTTTGTGGAATGCAGTTGAGATGGCAAGGAGATACCCTCTTGCTTGGTCAGCCAGATTTTGCCCGGGAGCTTTTGGAGCGCCACGGTCCAGTTCCTGGCCGACAGGTCCCTTTGCCAAAGATCGACTTGGTCCCGGAAGAGGAGGAGAGCCCGGATCCTGATGCGGTGAAGCAGTGCCAACAACTGCTTGGTGAACTCCTCTGGCTGAGTGGCAGAACGAGACCAGACCTTGCATTTGCAATTTCAACGCTGAGCGGATGGGTCACGAGATGTCCAAGGAGAGTCAAAGAACTGGGTCGGCATGTTTTGGGCTACTTGCAGGAGACCGTGGACATGGTGCTTTCCTATGGCAGTTGCCTGGATGATCAAGGGCAACCAAATGGTGACTTGAGGAAGGTGACACTCCTTTCCGATGCATCTCATGCTCCACAAGGACTTCGAGGGTGCCAAGGAATCCTGGCGCTGTGGGGAAATGCCTTGGTCCAATGGGAAAGCCGAAGGCAGCCTTTTGCAGCCCTTAGCAGCACTGAAGCTGAGTTGATCGGCTATGTGGATGCGCTGACGATGGGTGAGTCCTTGCAGGTGATCCTCAATGTGTTGGAGCACAACGACCTGGTGGAGAGCGGCCAGTTTGAGATCCGAGGAGACAACCTGTCAGGGATCCAGCTTCTTTGGCTCCTGATGGCCCTTGGAGAACCAGACATTTGAGACTGAGAAGCTTCGTCTTGAGGGAGCGACTGGCAGCACGAGAATGGCGGGTTCAGCACACCCCTGGCTCAGAGCTTGCAGCAGACCTCCTCACGAAGCCTGTGGTGCTGATACGAGCTGGGAAGTTTTTCGTAGGACTGTAGGCCTAGTTAGGTTTGTGCAGCCGACTGAATCATCTCGCTTGTGTCGCCTAACAGAGGCGGTGGTAGCCTTAGGAGGTTTGATGCTCCAACATGGGGCGAGCAGTCTTGTGAAAACGGCTGGAGCTGTGAGCTTGTCAGCCTTGACAGCATGGATGTGTTGCATGGAAGGGCTGGCATCTATGGCTAAACCAGTTGAAGAAAAGAAGGAATCAAGACCAGCACAAGAAAAAGGAAAGAGTCTGAGGGAACATGAACCCAGGCCAGTCAAGGGTGATGCAAGGGAAAATGAACCTGCATTGCAACATGAAGTGAGGGACCATGAACCCACTTCATCCCACTGTAGCCCTGAGGGCTCCCCGGTTGCTCCGCGCTTGTGTGCTGTTCGGGCACCGCCGTTTGGGCCAACGCCATGGGAGTCTGCGGAGTTCAACCAGCCGCCATACGCGGCAAATGATGACTTGTGGATCAGCCTCAATGATGGTTGGGTTGTGAGGGTTCATCGGTCACTGAGAAGCCGGTTGTTCCACCCGATCCATCGCAGCTGTCCAGTCAGAATCGAAGACTTGGAGGCCAGAAGGATCTGTCATCTGGTGGTCAGGGCCTCGAGGCTGGGAACGAGCTGTGCAGGAGGATCAGTGGTCCCATGGCCAAGTTCCGCCGCAATCTCCCGTGACGGGCCGATGGAGAGGATGGTCTTTCTTTCGCCTTGCAGAAAGTGCTCAAAGCGGACGAAGCTCCTCTGGTGTGCCCCGCCTACAACCTGATACGGTGGTGTGGACGCCTAACAATGAGCGGGCGTGGAACATGCCGAGGCAGTTTGGAAGGTCTTCGGGAAGTGTGAGAAGAGCCCAGGTCGATGCCATTGGACGAGGTGCAGCTGCTTTTGCATCAATGGGGACTGGACAGGTCTCTCGTGAGACTAGCTCCATTGGAAGCTGGTCTGTGGCTGGTGGCCATTGTGGCCCACCTTCGTCCACACCTTCGGCATCGTCGGAGGCCTCGGTTGTGAGGCCAACTGGCTCTTTGGAGGAGTCCTCGAGCCTTTCAGCGAGCTGGGGGCCTACCAGGAGATACACCGTTTTTCCCCCAGGGACCCAGGTGTACCAGCGGCCACCAGCCCCTGTGAATAGGTGGAATGATGGACCAACATTGAGTGTCCGCGAAGGAGAGTCTGTCCGGGAAGCCACACACTTCCTCCCGACCTTTACCCCGGACGTCCTCGAGAGGATCCAACAGGCCGCAGAACCCGATATCTGCGATCAAATCGCTCTGACGTCAGCGATGTGATGCTCTGGGACTTCCTCCATGGAGCTACTGTGGAAAGGGGAACGGATGAGGACCAGTACTACGAGGAGGCAGTGGAATCCGAGGATGAAACCAGTGATGGCGGCTACTCTGTGGTGACTGACGTGTGAGAGCCGGGCCATAGCTTCTGAAGTTTTGCCTTTTGGGCTGCCACCGGAATGTTGCTGTGTCGCAACATAGGGGAGTGTGGTGGCATTTTCAATTTGGATGGACACGCACAAATCAAGAAGTGTTCACATGTCTCAGGGGTTTTTACATGCTTCAGTCGTCTCACTGGCATGGCCCCTGCACAAGCGATGACACGCTACCTTTTGTATGGCTCAAGAAATAGGCGGCCCTTTTTGCTGCCTTTGGGTTTTTCCCCCGTTTGGGGATCGCAGTATCATTATTCATTCAATTATTCCCACATTTATTGGTCTTGGAACCGTCTAATATCGGCATATTGGATGGGGATTGGTTGTCTCACAAATTCATTGATTGACGAAGGCCATTGCCAAAGCGGCCGACGCAGAAGCCCGGTTCCGAGCAGTACCAAGTGGAGAAAATGTTATGAAGTTGGCACATGACCGGGGAAGAATTCTGTCCATGAAGACCAGCCTCAACAGATCTCAGCAGTATACCCTATGCACTTGCTCAATCATTCCAGCACGATGTCAAGATGAGTATATTAGCAATTGTTTCTTTATCTTTTCTTTGAAGGATTTCCTCGTGTGGAGCCATTGAATTTGCCCCAAGGCTCGATACGGCTTGAAAGATCCACAGGCTTTCGCCCAATTCCTACAAGATTCGGATGTTCGGTTGGTACGAGCCAAGTTTGACCCCCAGTCGTTGTGGCTATGTGCTCTACAGTAAACCAGTGCTGTGCAGTGCTGTGCGGTGCTGTGCAGTGCTGTACAGATTTGCAGATTTGCATGTGGAAGTGCTCGATCATTGAATCCTTAGATTGCAGCCAAAGCAGGACCAATGGTTATCGAAGGAAGTTTAGAAGTCAAACTTCCGACAATATGCACAGATGAAAAGCAGAGCAGGGAAGAGGCAGAGAGAAGAGAAAGATTAGAAGAGAGAAGATCAGAAGAGAAAGAGTCAGAAGAAAGAAGATGCAGATGCGCGAAAAGGTAGGAAAGTCGTGAAACACTGTGTTTTTCCAATGATTTGAGGCTCCGGAGGGTCAAAAAATTAGGCTCGCTAAAGCGGCGGGTGCGGAGCCAGCTGGCCAGATGAGAGATGAAAAATTGCACGCCGTTGTGGCGCGAAGCACATTTCGAAGTCAAAATGTACAAAACACACCATTGTCGGACCACTTTTGGAAGTTGCGATGTCGAAAAAGTGCACGCCGTTGTGGCGCGAAGCACATTTCGAAGTCAAAATGTTAAAAAAACTAGGGGTTCGGACCACTTTTGGAAGTTGCGATGTCGAAAAAGTGCACGGCGTTGTGGCGCGAAGCACATTTCCAAGTGAAAATGTACAAAGCACACCAGCTTCGGACCACTTTTGGAAGTTGAGATGTGGAAAAAGTGCACCAACGGCGCGAAGCACATTTCGAAGTCAAAATGTCAAAAAAACTAGGGGTTCGGACCACTTTTGGAAGTTGCGATGTCGAAAAAGTGCACGCCGTTGTGGCGCGACGCACATGTCCAAGTGAAAATGTACAAAACACACCAGCTTCGGACCACTTTTGGAAGTTGAGATGTGGAAAAAGTGCACGCCGTTGTGGCGCGAAGCACATTTCGAAGTCAAAATGTACAAAGCACCACATGTTCGCGCCACTTTTTGTTCAGATGTCGAAAAAAGTGCACGCCGTTGTGGCGCGAAGCACATTTCCAAGTCAAAATGTACAAAACACCACATGTTCGTGCCACTTTTGGAGGTTCAGATGTCGCTTCGCTTCGCTTCACTACAGTACACTACATGATGCTACACTACACTCCACTACACTACACTACATTACACTACACTACACTCCACAACACTTCAGCTACAACTACACAACTACATTCCACTACACTGCGCTACACTCCACTACACTCCAGTACGCTAAATTACACTACACTACCACACTACATTACACTACACTACACCTCCACTACACTTCACTACACTACATTACATCACACTACACTACACTACACTACACTACACTACACTACACTACACTACCTTCCACTACACTTCACTACCTTACACTACACTACACTCCACGACACTACAACTACAACTACACAACTACACAACTACACAACTACACAACTACACTCCACTACGCTCCACTACGCTCCACTACACTACATTACACTACACTACATTACACTACACTACACTACGCTACCTTCCACTACACTTCACTACATTACACGACACTTCACTACATTACACTACACTACACTCCACTACACTACAACTACAACTACAACTACACAACTACACAACTACACTCCACTACACTCCACTACACTCCACTACACTCCACTACACTCCACTACACTCCACTACACTAAATTACGCTACGCTACACTACATTACACTACACTACACTAAATTACGCTACACTACACTACACTCCACTACACTACACTACATTACACTACACTGCACTACCTTCCACTACACTTCGCTACATTACACTACACTCCACTACACTACAACTACAACTACAACTACACAACTACACTCCACTACAATACACTCCACTACACTCCACTACACTAAATGACACTACACTACACTACATTACACTACACTACACTACATTACACTACACTACACTCCACTACACTACATTACACTACATTACACTACACTACCTTCCACTACACTTCACTACATTGCACTACACTACACTCCACTACACTACAACTACAACTACGACTACACAACTACACTCCACTACACTCCACTACACTCCACTACACTCCACTACACGAAATTACACTACACTACACTACATTACACTACACTACATTCCACTACACTCCACTACACTAGACTACATTACACTGCACTACATTACACTGAATGACACTGCGCCACAGATAGACAGGTAGACAGATAGACAGGTAGACAGATAGACAGATAGACAGATAGACAGATAGACAGATAGATAGATAGATAGATAGATAGATAGATAGACAGGTAGACAGCTAGACAGATAGACAGATGAAAGAGAGAGAGAGATATAGATAGATAGATAGAAAGATAGATAGATAGGTAGGTAGGTAGGCAGATAGGTAGATAGGTAGATAGGTAGATAGGTAATTAGATGAAAGAGAGAAAGAGAGAGATAGATAGATCGATAGATAGATAGATACATAGAAGATAGGCTGGTAGGTAAGTAGATAGTCAGAGGAAGAGAGAGAAAGAGAGGAGACCTCAAGCACCTTTCGGTCCATCAGTGGATTCGCTCTGCCATCCCTGATTCACAACAGCCAATCTCTCCTATAGGTTTCCTATTTTTGAAACTTCCGCCACCGCCTTGTGCGGTACTACTGGTATACACGCAAAGAATTATGCTTTGTCTTCCTCGTCTTCTTGCAAGTGAAAATTCAAGCCAAAAAGGACAGAGCCAGTGATATTTCACATGAAGATGGCAAGTCAGATAGCTGAACAATTCAGCACGCGAGCCACAAATGCCAGCTTCAACCTACCTAGATGCCAGAAACTCATGACAAAAGATGTTTCCGTTCATGTCTGACATGAGACATGATGCACCTTACAGAAATCTGAGGTACTTGGTAGACTTGGTTCTCTCCAAACGGCCGTTGCCGAGACGGCAAGAAGCTGAAACCGAGACCTTCACGTGTGGTGGCGAGCGTCAGAGTGCGTTGGTGACGCACAAAGAAGTGCAAAATTGGGCCAAGGGGACCCAGGAGGCGATCATTTGTTCCATTTCCCACGCCTGGGAAACCAGGGAACATCCAGATCCGTGTCGGCACCAATTGCAGCAGATCGTCAATCATACTGGACTGTACGGTGCTGCATTCGAAGCAGACATTTGGATCTTCTATGATTACAGCTCGCTCTTCCAATACGAAAGAACCAACTCACATGAAGAGAGGAGCTTTCGAAAGGCGATGAACAACATGCACCTCATGTATGCTCACGAATGCACTTTGACATTCAGGATCGAAACCCTTACTCCAGAGCATGTTTGGAACACCATGATGGCTGATGAAGAAGCTGTTGTCCGAGTGTATGATGCAGGCAGCAAGACTCTGAAAGAGAAGCCCTTGAAGCTCTTGGAAGCCAACAGAACTCCATACTTACAGCGAGGGTGGTGTATGGCAGAAATCGAATGGTCATCTCTGAGAGGAGTGAATGCACAACATCAACACATCGACAGACCGAAGGATCCGAAGTCTGAGACGCAGAAATCCGATCATCTCAATGGGAGAGTGCCTATGATCCCTGCGAATTTCAGGCAGCAAATGGAGCAAGCAAAGTTCACCCATCGCTCGGATGCTGATGCAGTGATCTATTTGCAACAGAAGATTTTCAGGGAGAAGGTGATCGAATGCCAACACTTGGTGTTGGAAGGCCTTCCGGCCCAAGAGATCTTGGCGCTAGCGCGTGCGCTCCCACACTACGAAAATCTGAAGAGCCTGACGGTGAGGAGGTTTCAATGTGGCGAGGAAGAGGCAACGTCCCCAGGGAAGGCCAGAGACATGTTGGTGATGGTGGTGCTAGCTGATGCTAGTTGTGTGACCTTGCATGGAAAAAATGTTGCCGTGTCCTGAAAAAACTTGGCGCCCTGCAGGCTTTGGCATCAAGTCAAGTGGAGACGCTTGAAATCCGTGGCATCGGTGAAAGTGGCCGCTTCATGGTGAAGGCAGCAGATTGTTTGATCATTGATTCACTTGCTTGATACGATTGCTTGCTCACCCACATACAACAATAAAAGGCAAGTCGCTGAATTGCTGGGTGACCTCCTCTTGGAGTCATTTGAAGCATATCACGGGTAGCTAGCTGGAGTTGCTTCTCACGGTAGCAAGGGATGTGGGAGGCAGCGATTACCCCGGTTCCGCCCATTGAACACCCCTGGCTGATTGAGGCTTGATTTCCCACAAGACCACACCATCTACATCAGCTATCATTTTGGACATAAAGCTCGAAATGTAACATGATGTTACCTTGGAACATGGCTCGGCTCACTCCACCTCACACTTTCCAACGCTCTCCACTCTCAAGTCATCTAACTCGGTCCACTGCACTCGATCAAACTCACTCCACTGAATTCACTCCATCCAACTCACTCATTCTATCCAACTCTAGCAATCCAACGAACTCACTCTAACAAACTTCACCAATCTCACTCCGCCCAGCCCACTCCATCCAACTCACCACCTGACTAACTCCACTCAGAGCCACCTTCACTCCCTTGCCCATGTTCCCCTTACATCTCGCTTCGCCAAGTCTCTTTACTCATTTTACTTGTTGCAGTTGCTGACCCAGATCTTTGATGTCTTGTGTTTCTTTCAGGCTCTCGCGGAAACCTTGAAGACCAATAGCTCCGTGCGGGACATGAATTTGGCACATAACAAGATTGGTCCCGAGGGAGCTCAGGCCTGGCCTGTATCGGATGTGTTGGGCTCTTTGGCTTAGACTCAGCACACATCAAGGATCATCAAGGGGTATTACAAGTATGATGATGCTTTCTCTGGGTAGATGTAGCTTGCTTGACTTCAGTTTTGTTGTTGGTGATGTGTCCAGGCCTAGTCTGTTTGACATGCTTTCATTCGAAGCATTTCCAGATCAGCTTCAAGTGAGTGTCATGTCGATTCGTAGGTTGGTCTAGGTTGGTCAGAGGCGAGCCAAGTCTCTTTACTGATTTTACTTGTTGCAGTTGCTGACCCGGATCTTTGATGTCTCGTGTTTCTTTCAGGCTCTCGCGGGAGCCTTGAAGATCAATAGCTCCGTGCGGGACATGAATTTGGCACGGAATGACATCGATGACACGGGAGCTCAGGCCTGGCCTGTTTCGGATGTCTTGGGCTCTTTGGCATAGATGTAGCCCATATCAAGGGGTATCCCAAGTATGATGATGTTTTCTCTGGGTAGATGTAGCTTGCTTGATTTCAGTTTGGCTGTTGGTGATGTGTCCAGGCCTAGTCTGTTTGACTTGCTTTTACATTGAGGTTGCAAAACCAGCGGTATTTGAAATTCAAAAAAGCAGCCACTTGCAGCCACTCGAGTGGCCGCAAGTGGCCGCAAGTGGCCGCAAGTGGCCGCAAGTGGCCGCAAGTGGCCGCTAGGGCAAGTGGCCGCAAGTGGCCGCAAGTGGCCGCAAGTGGCCGCAAGTGGCCGCAAGTGGCCGCAAGTGGCCGCAAGTGGCCGCAAGTGGCCGCAAGTGGCCGCAAGTGGCCGCAAGTGGCCGCAAGTGGCCGCAAGTGGCCGCAAGTGGCCGCAAGTGGCCGCTCCAAGCGAGTGGCCGCAAGTGGCCGCAAGTGGCCGCAAGTGGCCGCAAGTGGCTGCTTATGGCTGCTTGGACGGCAAATACCAGCCCGAATGGCCCCACCCTTGAAAATTTGAAAAAAAATGCGTTTCTCGCGAGCTGCATTTTTTTCAAGTTTTCTGTGAAACGTGAGGTGAGAGTTGAAACGAAAGGAAATAACAAATAGGAGGGAAGAGTTGAAACGAAAGGATGGACGCAACGAAATGGACAAGGTGAAAGGAAAGGAAGAGCTAAACGATGCTAAACGAGCAAGACAGAAGAGTTGATACGAAGGCACAGACGCAACGAATAGAAAGGAAGAGTTGAAACGGAAGGAAAAACTGAACGATCAGGACGTAAGAGTTTATGCGAAAGAAAGGAAACGAACAGGACATAAGAATGGAGGGCCATTTATTTAGGGATTTTTTTTTTTAGTTTAGGGATTTTTTTTTGGATTTCTTCCTGCTTACTCTATTGCCTCCTGCAGTGCTTCTCTGCTTCTTTGCTTCTATTCCTTTTTTTGTTTTTTTTGCTTTTCTTTGCTTTTCTTTGCTTTTTTGCTTTTTTGCTTCCCTTGCTTTTCTTTGCTTTTTTGCTTTTTTGCTTTTCTCGCTTTTCTGCTTTTCTTTGCTTTTTTGCTTTTCTTGCTTTTCTTTGCTTTTTTGCTTTCCTTGCTTTTCTTTGCTTTTTTGCTTTTCTCGCTTTTCTGCTTTTCTTTGCTTTTTTGCTTTTCTTGCTTTTCTTTGCTTTTTTGCTTTTTTGCTTTTCTTTGCTTTTTTGCTTTTCCATGAGGTGTGGAGCAACATCTTCTCTTGGTTCGAAGCAGATGGGCACGCTGCTGTAGTCTCGGTACACCACCACCACCACCACCACCACCACCACCACCACCAACAACAACAACAACACTAACACAACACCAACAACACTAACAACACTAACAACACTAACAACACTAACAACAC